AATACATTTTGAGAACTGTCCTATGAAAAAAATGACAAATTAATAGTTACTTTTCCAATTACGCAAAAGTTTGCTTTATTCTCTTCATTTTGCTTTGAAAGCTTTGTCCTAAGGCAGACTTCCCTGAGGCTGTTTTTACAGAAGCGAATATTAAGAAAACAAGGCCAGATATATGAGACCATAGCCCATTATTATGCTCCATGCTTCAAAAAATTTGTCAGAAATGTGGGTCCAAGGGCCTCACGATGAGAAGGAGAGTAGCTCTCCCTTTGCACTGTAAACTAGGTTTCCAATCTTGGAGCTCCTTTAACCAATCCAAATTTGATTTCCCAGAAGTAAATTCAGAGCTGCTCTTCAGTACATGAGACATAGACTTTAAGTACCACCAGATCCTTCCACATTCACCCGCAGGCCCAGTCCCAGCCCTTTACTCTCCACACTAGATATGAATTCAGCTCAAAATCTTCAGGAAATGCAGACACATAGACTTATTCAAAATCACATGGCAAGTTAATAACAAGCTAAAAATGCTAAACTTCTGACTTCCTGTTTCACAGTGTGTTTTATCAGCACTAAACCAAGCAACCACAAAGAAATCACTGAATCACTTGCAAATATTTGCTCAATCCACTGGTTTCCTAATCTATGTTCAGTTTAAATAACTATTTCTGCAGTGAAAATGTTGTAGGACCCCACCTTTGATTTTCTCATGAAATGGATTCCATAATATTTTCAGCATCTCTGTTCTTGGCAAAGATACAACTACTCTGCAAGGTGTTACCCAGAGTCACTACACATACTCATCTTTGCTTCTTATAGCTGATCCAGGAGCATACTGCCAGAGCCAGAAAGATTCAACAAAACATAATCAGGTCAAGCTACTCTTCTTGGTAAAATCCTGCAACTCTTAAAAGCATAACTTTCCATGGTCTGCCCTCCTTTTAACTTCCCATCTGTACCTCATGTTATTCTGCACAATGGTCCCAACTCTAATCAAAGGCCTTTGAATGTCCCATGCTTTTCACAACTCTGCACATGCTAGTCTTTCAAATCACTGGAAATTTGGGCACAATGTCTTTGCCTGCTTAGAGAACAGCAAATCATTTTTTAAGGTATTCTACCACCACCATCTTTTTGAACCCTTCCCAGACCTGCAGAGAATTTACATGTACTTTTATTATAACACTTGTCTGTGTAGTTAATTGTTGAAATAACAACTGTTCATTGGCAGGTACCATATCTCTACATTCCTCTACACACCTTCATCTTAACCATATTTGTATACATATTAACTAAGTTACTGACCAAGGCATAATCTCATATTATCTGCTTTCTCCAGAAGATGGTGTTGTCAGTCATGTCACTGGCAGACTCACCCAATGGCTTATTCCTACTCTAAGAGTGAATATGCTCAGTGTCTTCCAAACACTATAAGAAGTATTCAAAAGGCTTATTAAAAAAATAAGTGTTTGCAATAAAAACAGGTGCTTTAAAATTTGAAAATATAAAGAAAGTAATGAAGGCTGAATATGCTTATGGAAAAAATCTTTAATGATAGTTAAAATTCTGATGAAAAGAGCAAATTACCCATCATGAAAAAATTATCTTGCAAATATGAAGGATAATCATAAGCTATAGAAAAGGAAAATTAATTAACTAAATGGAGAGAAACATTTGAAAGTTTGCTTGAAGGATCAGATGCCTCTTAGTCAAACATTTTAGCTGTTGAGGAGTTCTCTGGAGATTATTACAATCTGTAGACAGACTGTCAATATAGTAGGTAATGGTCAAGATTTTGGAAGAGTAGGAGAAGATGCTAGATTGAGTACTACAAAGGAGGGAAAAGATACGGCCAAATACCTGATTGAACTTGGTTTGCAATCTTGTTTTGGTGGGAATACATTTAAGGAAGCTGAGCATCAGAAACATGTTTATGTAAGGAAAAAATAAAGAAATCAGTAAATGGAGATGTAGGAGTCTCTGGTATTGGAAGAAACACAAAAATGAGCCACAATCTGTTCTAGTAGGTAAACTGGGGAATAATGTTTCAAGAAAGAGAGATGATTTGGAAACAATCTTCCATGTAACTTTAAGAATAAACATAAGGGGACATAAGAATCCTCATGAAAACTCCACTTCTATTTCCTAGACTCATTACCTTCCATTAGCTGTTTTAGACCTATTTTAGAATTCTCACCTGAAAAGAGAAACAGCAACCTTTGTTTCTGTGTAGATCATTGAGTATGATAGACTTTAAATATTTCCAAGTTGCTGTCAATAATTTTGTCCTTCTTTATGGCTGCATAATAATCCATCAAGTCTATTACCACACTGGATCCTGAACATTTATTATAATACTACAAAAAAGGGATTGACTGTAGCAGAATACCACCAGCAGTGGGAGCGGGGGAGTACATAACATCAATAGGGGTACCTGATCCCAAACCAGGTGAAGTGAGGGAGACCAAACTTCACCTGTATGATGACTATATATGTTCCTAATCCTAAATTGTACCCTACCTCTTTAAAATAAAAAAAGAAAGAGAAACAGCAACCTAATGGGATCATTAGGCTCGACTTTCCCATTTCCCAGGAGCAATTAAAAAACTGGGAACAAGCCTTCTCTCCTTGTTCAGTTCATTCCTTTTTTTTAATATAGTTTAGAAATCTATTAATGAATTAGGAATATCTGGTCCCCTGAGGAGATTCCACACCTATCGTCCTATTTCACATGTTCAATTGTACAGATTCAACCCATTTTCCTAACAGTGAATATAAACTACATATAATATATTTTTAGACCATTCTTCTTTTTTGTTGTTGTTGGTAAGTAAATGACCAAGACTTTCCAATAAATACATTTAATAGAATCACAAAATCATCCACCAACTAAGCTCTCACAGGCAAAGTAATGTCTGCCAAACTTTGATATATCTCCAGACACCCACAACCCAACTCTACAGATTCCTTCACTGGCTGATGATTCACAATGCCAAAAAATAAGGAATATTTTTGTACATTATTTTCTAACTATTTATTTTCTCTCTCCTACAAGACTACTGTTTCCCTCTCTCTTCATTGGTTATGTTTCTGCAGATGCTTGTCATTCCCACTGCTCTATGTTTCAAAGACACTTCTCAGTAAACAACTTAAGCAGGCTTAAACTTAAGCAGAGGCTATATTTTGCACTATGCATTTGTTTTGTTTTGCTGCCAAATAATTCAAAATAGTAATCTGCTGTTTGTAAACATCACATCTGGATCTGCTATCACTCCACATCTTAATCCAGTAATTTTTACCATAAAACTTCATCTCCATGAAGAATCTGGAATGTGTAATTGACTTCAGATAGTTTTCATGTATAATAATGTATAAAAGATTAAGATGATTGCATTTTCACATGGATGCTATTATATATCAATAATTCTATTTTAATCATATTTCATTAATATCTAAAACCATTGTGTAAGAATATTTTGTCTTTCAGTTTCTCCTTTCCTTATTTCTCCTTTCTCACTCTTCCAACCACTGTTTTCAAAGTTATTTTCCACTTCTACTGAGTTAATTGCCACTATTTTTGAAAAGTTCACTTCTGTTAAAATTTTGCATCATATTAAAATGTCCTGTAATTATTTGGGCTATCTAGCTCTTACCAAACCTTGCGCCACAGTCATTAAAATTAAGCTGACTTTTAAGAAATGTTTTTCAGCTAGTTTCATTTTTGACATCAGTGCCAAGTTTCAGTTCAACAAAATGTACTACATTGAACTAGTCTACTGCTTTGGAATGAAACTGAAAATTAAGAAAATAATAATAACAATCAAAATCCAAAAAAGACATGAAAATTGCATGTATTTCATTTGTTTTATAGCCAAAAATTTTTTAACCTTAAGTTGGAGACTATAAAGTTTAGTTTTTTAAAGATAGTTTTCACACAGAAAGTAAAAAATTTAACAAATTAAAAAACTATTTGAAAATGTATAGCTACACTCAGAAGCACCTAGAATAAAAGGGAGGCAGAAATGTCTGAATAGTCTTAATAATGAACTTTACACTATTTCACTTTGCTTTGTTGACATAGTCTCAACAAGAAAGTATCATGAAGGTTATTTTAAAGTCTCTTAATGTTAGTTGAAGTTTCTAGTAAATAAGTTACTATTAAGCTACTCAAAATGAATTAAAAATTACCTCAGGCTTGTTATTCTTCTCAAATGCCTATTCCTAATTAAACATTCTGAGATAACACTGAAAGTATGGAGTTATGACCTCATACAAATAAATATGAAATCATGTCCATTATAATTTATATAAACAATAGATGTATAGCACATGTGTATATGTGTATTTGTGTATATATATGTATATGTGTACAGATAATATATAATTTTCAAGTTCCTACGACAGCTCTTCTAATTATAATTAAAATTATGACTTTAAAAAAGTCATTGTTTTGAGATACTTGACATCTCCTACATAAACTGTTTAGAGTCACATATGCATAAAAGACAAGAATAATCTTTTAGCCCTGAAAAAAGAAGATATGGCAATATACTGTCAGGTGTTATTTCTGCTATGAACAGAACATATATTTTCTTTAAAAGCCAATAAAATAGATATTGCTAGAATGTAAACAGAAATTAACGTTTACTCATAAAATAAACTATAAGAGGCAATAAAATGTTACAGCATGTTCCAATTTAGTAAATATCTGAGCATATTAAACTGGAAGAAGAAATTGCTTTGGTTATCATGAATGAAAACCGTGATTTCTATACCTTAAGTATAACAAGACAGTAATAGATAGAGGTTCTGATATATTTTACCCAAATTATAGAAAATCACAGCTTGACTATTCTACTATCCTGATCCCCAGTTATCATACAAAATGAAATCATAATTATAAGCAAGTCACACATATCAAAGTAAACAAATATTGATTAGACTTGTCTTCCTAGTTTGGTTAAAGTACAGAAAATTAACCAGACAGTTAAGTTACCTACCAGCAATCACTGGATTTTATGTGTTACACCTTTACAAACAGCGCCAGATTTTAATTCCTCTTCCCATAACATAATCACCATGCCAAAAGAGACTACCAAAGTCAATGATCTAGTTATGAGTAATGAATGGTTTGGGTTGGTTGGAATCCACTTAGTTAAGGAAAGAGAAAAGAGAAGTGGCTCATTAGGGCATTTCCTGAACCCTGGTTGGAATTTCAGTTAAGGAAGAAGAAATGACACAGCAGTTTCAGCTTAAAGCGACTTCCTTTCTTTATCTGAAATACGCTGCTAATTTGAGAAACAGTGCTCTAACAATATTTGACCACAGTAGTGTGGCCACAGAAAAAGTTCTTGTTGATCCTGTTTTTGCCCCATAATTAATATTTCTTCCCAGAACATGCACAAGCAGTATATGGTTGTTATCAAAATGGACTAAGAGCCCACATTTATTGCAACATACCATGCTTCGCCTTTAACATTTATTCAATGAAGTGACCTACACCATTTTTCAGTTTTTAAGAACTGCACTTTTGTTTAGAGTATAAATAGAGTTTGAGTTTTTGCTTCGTACCATTAAACTTCCCATATTACACATAATCCTATTATATCACTAATGATTTTGCACTCAGAGTGACTCCAAGAAAATATTTCAAGAATATTTTAATCTTCCCATGCACATGGAAAATATACAATTCAGCTTATGAGATTTCTTCTTATTATTGTTATTTCTATCCCAATTTGGTTTGTATTTTTAAGGGACATGAATATGGGTTACTCACTGCCTTTACAAATGAAACTACTAAAGAGATCTCATTTCATGTATTAGTCATTTGCTGGACTTAAACTTGAAACATCCAATACTTTGTTTCCAACCTATAATTCACACTGTGAAGCTCTACATTCATTCTTAGCAGTTTTACCATTTCCTTATTTTGTTTATATATATTTTAATGTATACAGCAAGACATTCATGTAAGCTACTAAAGTTTCATGTGGAGGTTGCATTCATATTTCTACTTCCTTTGTGTTTTAGAAATTGTACAATTAAATTGACATTTGTGCCAGAGTGGTGATTATTTTAAAATATCTCAGCACCTTATATCTTGTTTTAAGAATTTCAAAACTATTAAATAAAAAAATGTTATGTCATTATCAATTGCATATTTTTGAGTCACCTTACGTTTTCTGGTTATGTTATACATCTAAATCTCTTAAGGTGACTGGAAGTCATAAATAACTTAGTGTAAAATCAATTGGTTTCAATTAACATTAGAAATAAACAACATTCATATCAGAAATATTGTGAGGAAATAAAACATTTGGGATTTTAGCCCAGAAACTACTTTAGATTGAATTCAAGTTTAATATATTTGTGTGATACAATGTTTTTAACACATTTAATATACCTGTGTAAAATGTTTTTTTGAGACTCAGAAGGTAAACTTTGAAGCTGTATTACTTATTGGACATATATTTTGGTTTCTTTTTTTTTTTTTTTTTTTTGAGTTGGAGTCTCACTCTGTCGCCCAGACTGGAGTGCAGTGGCCGCTCCCGGCCACCGCAGCCTCGACCTGCTGGGCTCCGGCGATCCTTCCGCCTCAGCCTTCCAAGTAGCCAGAATTACAGGCGCGCGCTACCACACCTGGCTAATTTTTGATTTGTTGTAGAGATGAGGTTTCGCCTGCCCAGGCGGGTCTCGAACCCGCGGGCTCAGGCAATCCACTCATCTCAGCCTCCCAAAGGCGTGGGATTACAGGCTGAGCCACTGAGCCCGGCTTATTTTGGTTTCAAACGTTGGAAACACCACATGGATATATTGACACCTAAAGAAATCAGCATTTGTATGTTAACACTCATTATCTATTAATGGTGGCCCACTGGGGTAGTCATGATTTTTTTCAAATTTATGTTTATCGATTGCATCTATATTTTCTATATAAAAATATGTTATTTGGAATAACATATAGTTTTAATTTCAAAACTAGCTATATATTAAAACTTTTAGTGATAGTAAACTACTGGCCGCAAAATAATTTTACCACAAATTACCTGCTTCCCTATTACAAGAATAAGGGAGATCTTGTAGCTACCTGATTATAATTTAAGTTCTGTGTTTTGCTATTACCTGGCTGATGTTTATAGATTCCCCTCAGGGATCATTTCTGCTAATATAGCAATGGCAAAGAAAAAGGCAAAACATCTTTTCATGATTCATCAAAAAATCTTTGTTTCTAGAGGTTCATTCTCGCTCCTCACATTTAAATGTCATCAAGTCCAAAGTGCTTAGGAGCAGGAACTTAAGAGTCAGACTGCTTTGGTTCAACTCCCAACTCTGCACCTTCCTACCTAGCTCACTGATTAAAATACTTAACATTTCTTTGCCTCAGTTTCCTCATTTGCAAAATAGAGAAAATAATAATACCTAGAGCAGGGCTATCATGATAATTGAATGATCAGAGCAGAAACAGATTGTTTAGATAGTGCTAGGCATGTAGTAAATGCTAGGTAAATTTTCTCTCTTTTTCTTAATTGTCTCTGTCAATCCCTTTTTACCATCACTGTCATCCTCCAGCCTCTCTCGTATCTACCCACCACCAGTATTTGTGCACAAAATACTCTGGCTTCCCATTTGTTATCATAGATGAATCATACATCATCTCATACAGAGAACAGTTTGCTACATTTCCACTGGAATTTCCTATCCTTTTCACCTGTGCAAGAATATCACCCATCAGTGCTCTACTCTCACCTATAACCTGCAATGCCAAACATGAACTCTCTGTCAGATCATTCTCATCAGAATACAAACAGGTGTTCTTTTTCCAACCTAAAGAAAACAAAAACAAAAAACTTCTCTTGGCCCTACTTCTTTCACCAGATATCACTCCATTTCTTTGTTTCCTTTGTGAAGAACTCAAGAGTTGTCAGCATTCATTGTCTGATTTCTTTTTTTCCCACGTTCTCTTAAATCTCTTCCAGTTAGGCTTTGTGTTCTTACCAGAACACCATATCTGCTCCTGGTCAATTGCAAATGGCTTCTATCTCACTAATCAACTGGTCACTTCTCAGTCCCAATTTACATTCCCAATCAACAGCATATGTTTGATAATTATCTTCTTCTTGAATGCCCTTTGTTCATAGATTTTCAGGACACCATACTCAGATTTCCCTTTATCTCACTGGATGCTTCTTTTCAGTCTCCTTTGCTGTTTCCTCCCCTGTTCTCTCACTTATTATTATTAAAGTGTCCTAAAGCTCAGCCTGTTCGCTTATTTTTCTAGGTACATTATCTCGGCTATCTCATTTATTGTCATGACTTTATGTCATCAATTCGCTGTTGACTTTTATGGTTATATCTCCATGTTTGACCTCTCTCCTGAATTCCATATTCATATATCCAACCGACTACTCTGCGTCTCCATTTCCATTTGTAACAGACAACTGAAATCTTCACAACCACACACCACTTGCAGCCTTCCCTAACTATGTTAATGTCATTTTTTCCCACCAGCAGGTTCCTCTCTTTCTCTCATATCCTTCAGCCTATCTAAAAGTAACTCCTATGAGCTTGCCCTTCAAACATATCCAGTATCTATCTGCTTCACCCAACTCCCATTGCTAATACGTGGGTCAAAGTTAACCTCATCTCTCACCTGGATTACTGCAAAGACCTAACTGCTCCCTTCTTCTACCATTGCTAATCATCCATCTCCCAACCCCTCACATACACACACACACACACACACACACACACATGCGCGCGCACCAGTTGTGAAACACCAACTCCTTACTAAAGTCCAAATTTCACCTTTCTCCCTTCTCTCCCATCTAGCCCCATTCACACTTTTTACCTCCTTACCCTACTCTGCTTTTTTTCCAGGTAGATCCCTTACTCATTAGGTTTCTGTTCAATTTCTAACATCCACTGGAAAGTAGGAAAATAGTCCTCACACAGACCTACATCCCTGCCTGTTTGTTCATGACATATCCTATACACTCAGAGCAGCATGGCACATAGTTGTCACTCAGTGTGTTTGCTGAATAAATGATTGAATACATGACCCATAGTTGCTTTCTAACTGATCTTGCTTCCAAGTCGTTTTCTGCCCCCACTTTTCTTTGTATTTATTTTTCTAAATCAGATATTTAATCATTTTATTCCCTTTATTTATACCATCGAAAAATTTCTAATACCTAAACTTTGATTTTAAATTCTCTTATAAAAGTTTTCTTAGGTAAATCTGAGTCTGGATTTTAAGCTTCATCATAGTTTATCTCGCTTCCTTCTGCTAGGAGTGTCCTGCTGCAGGACTTCTCTTTGCAAAGCCTGGATCAAATGACCTCCTGTCCGTTAGCTTCCTTGAAAGATATAGAATTAAATGCCCTTGTTTGTGTGTATGAGAAGGACACTCAAGAAAACCCAGGATTATTTTTTGGAGGGCGAGTTCATTGTAGTACAAGTTTCCCCTGCTGGATTAAGTGTTCTAGGTGCCCGTCGGTATCAGTGTACCAACTAGCATTATTGTGAGAGGGCTTCAGTTAATTTTTTTTTTTTGGAAGATTCATTCAACATATTTCCTCATTTCATGGTGGGTTATTTCTGAGTACCTGTCCACACTGCACTGAGTTTTCAGCAGTTGACCAAAAAAACGGCATGAAATGAGTCCCGTCCTCCCTATTCACCCAATCACTTCCCGAGCAGCTTTATTTTGTTTGTTTTCCTGGATGAAAAAGTCCTCAAAGGGAAACATTTCGCCAATGTGGAAGAGGTAAAATAAAAATGGCAGAAGCACTAAAAGGCATCAAAATTGACAAATTCAAAAACTGTGCAGTGGAAAAAGTGTCTTGATAGGTGTATTACATCCAAGGGAGAGTACTTTGAAGGTAACTGAACTTTGAACATGTAAAAATAAATACACAACTTCTGGGTTTTGGGGGGTCCCCCCTCATACATGCTTCTGATGTATCCCAGGCAGAGAATAAAGAAGCTGGTTTTTGACAAACTCCTCAAATTCCTATCAATCATTGGTTTCAGACAGCCTACAGGAAAACATTAATTCTCAGGGATAGTTTGCCCAAGTTGCACATGGACAAAGTAGTTTGTATCATTCTGAGAACAGCACTCTGACAAAA